GAACCAACAGACCTGCAGGCTTTTAGCTTATGATGTGTTGACCTGAACTGCTCTCAGGGTCGTGTTACTTGTCTTTAAGTCTGGTACAAACCTTAGCAGGAGTGATGTGATGTTATGCCACAGGGTTTTAATGAGGCTGCTGGATTCAGGTTCTGCATCTGCCCTGCAACACTGCTTTAGATGGGAGGGATGTGGTAAAGATCTGCAGTAGGAAGGAGCTTTCCTTCTGGGTAACATCCACTCTGCCTCATCTTGTTTCTTCTCTGGATCCTTTTTTCTTCATTGCTGGAATCAACAAAGAGGTGTAGGCAACTGGAGCCCCCTGGTCGTGGTTCCTGCAGATACCTAGCAAACATTTTAAGTAAAATAACATCAATACCTGTGCAAAATGGCTGGTGTGAGGTTCAGGGTGTTCTTGAGGGTCTTTTCTGACTGGAGGAAACATTTGTGTGATCTCAGCTCCTGAGCACCTCACAAGTCCCACGTCTTGTGGGATCTTTTTCCAGAAACTGGAGTTTTGCTTGCAGCTCCAAAATGCTCATTTTCCTTCAGAGCCAAGTCAGGCAGGAGCAGAAATTCCCACGAAAGCCCAGGAAAGCCTGAATTTTGGGGGCCTGCAGTGCTGCTGTGCAGAGGAGCAGAGCCCAGGCTCTGGCTCCCATTAGTCACTGGGAAGTGTGGGCGCCTCCTCGGAGCTAAGCACGGAGCCCCAGTTTCCCCACCCACCACCAGGAGACAAACAGCATCAATAGCTGGTGAAAAGAATCTCTGGTGAAAGGTTTTTCTGTTAGAAAATACTGTTTTGTCAAAATCTTATCTGCATGATATAATATGTGATGGAGAAGTTTTGAAAGATTCACTTCAACTTGTTTCATTTAAATAATGTCAAAACACTTGATTTAGATGTTCTTGTTTAGTTTTGACTTTTTTTATAATGTGGAAGTGATTTTACTTAAACATTCATCAGTATAAATGTCTCAATCTTAGTGAAGTTACATGTTTTGATATTTCTGAATCACTCATTTTTGGAATTTCTGCCCTGCTAAATATTTCATGAATCCTATGATGTATGAAAAGATGAGGAGGCAGCAGGGGATTTTTTCAGGACAGAAATCCCATTTTCTGACCCCTGTCATGTAATGGGATATGCCAGCTTGGTTTGCCTGCTGCTGGCAGGGAGATCACGTGCAAGATGTGAGCTCTGACTCTACCTGTCTCTCCCATTCTTAAGCCTGTGGTTTCCCTCTGCTGAGATGTTCCAGCAGGGTCTGTGCAGTGGGACAGGGAAGAACACAGGTTCCCAGGGAAGGGGAGCCCTGGGAGGGAGGAGATCACCAGTGCCTCGAGACCATCTGTGTTGCCTTTGTTCTCTCTCAACAGAGGTTCCAAAAGGACTCATTTTTCTTCATTGGGCTGCATTTTTTCTGAGTCTCTGGAAGCCCCAGCATGTCTGCATTTCACAGAAGCCCTGAATGTGCTGAGCCCTTGTAGCTCCCTTTGGCTCCTGCTGGGCACATCTGCAGGCACAACCCCCAGATCACATCCCTGCACAGGGAAGTTCCTCAGGTCCACGATGGGTCTTAGCCTTGCTGAACCTAGTGGTGGGTTTCAGGAGGACAGGGCTCCCTCTCTGGGCTCTGATCTGGGCAGGAGTGTGTTGTGTGTCTGTGTGTGGAAGAGCTTTGTTGCTCGGGAAGAACCTCTGAGCACGGAGGAGAAGCCTGGGCACTGCTGGCACTTGCATTCCCTGCCTGTGCCAGTGGACTTGTGTTTAAAAGTGACACAGGGAGCTGGCTGTCTGGCTCCCCCTGGCCCTTGATGCTTGGTGTGTTGTCCCCGAGGTGGCTGCACTGACACATGTCAGTGTCCTTCTCCTTCTGACCAAACCTCAGCAACCAGAGCGGTACCGGGACACCGACGTGTCCTTCCCCAGGACACACAGGTCACAGGGGCAGCAGGAGCAGGGTGAGGGGCACCCCCAGCACAACTTGCCACCCGAGTGTTGGCTGCTGCTGTAGAGCAAGACTTCAAGGTGTGGGAGGGAAAGGAGCAGCAAAAACTGATGGTTCAAGGCAGTTGAGTTGTAGCAGAGAACAGGATCAGTTCCCCGTTTCTGTCAGGACACAGTGATACATGTTTAAAATATTCCTGCTACCCTTTGATCTTGGTAATATTTCTCGAGTTTAAAAGCTGAATTTTCTTTTCATGATTTGCATTATTTGTCTTCTGCTTTTTTAGGAGAGCAGCACACAGTTCAGTGCTGCTTTAATATCCACACTGTTTTATTTTTTATCCCTTTCATGCAAGTACAAATCTTGAACATTTGGATTTTCAGTGTCTGTAGGAAGATACACAAATCCTGGCAAACTGTTTTCAATGGCAGGCAAAACCAGAGGCCTATTTCATGGAAATGTTAATTTACATTAAATTATTTTGGGAATGCTTTATTACCTTGCAGTGGTATTTAGTTCAAGATGCACAGAGCAGAAGCAGAAGGTGGTACCTTGTTGGGACTTCTATTCAAAATACACCTGTATCTGAGTTGCCTGAAGTCAGCATAATAATGAGGTGCTTGTTGTTATTCCAGCTAAATTGGAATATTAGATGGAGTAAAGCAAGTCTTGGATTATGAGATTTTTCTCTGTAAAGAAAATGTCATAAAAGAAGTTTCCCATTTGGTGTAAGAAATTGAAAATAGGGAGAAAAGGCAGCGAGGCTGATCATAGATGGTGAGGGTAAAAAAAAATCAGAACCTGGAAGACGAGATGAACGTGAAGTAGATGAATAAGGTGGGAGCACCAGGGAGGCTGTGGAGGAAGGAAGTTGTGTAGCAATGAATGGCTCAGGGCAGGGGCCCTTGGCAAGTGAGATGGTGCAGAGCAGCAGGTAACAGAAAATTGTGTCCATTATTTACCAGAAGTCAAAATACATGTGCAGGGAGAGATTATCTGTGTTTCTGTGCAGGAAGGTGTCAGCTCTCTGTGCCAGGGCCACGCGGGGAAAGGGAGGTGGGAACAGGGGGAGGGAGAGAAAACAGGGATCAGTCAGCAAACACCTGCCCACCCAGCTGGGTGCCCAAGGTCCCTTTTAGTGACACGTGGCCTTGAGGCAGGTGCAGGTTGGGGTCTTTGGGGTGTCACTGGATCCCTCATTGAGCTGTGATGAACTTAAGGGTGAGGAAGCAGTTAGGAGAGGTTGTTGGGGTCTTTCAGTGGCAGTGCTAAAAGTCCTGTGTTGAAGATGAGTCTGGGCTGCCAGATCCCACGTGGGAGGTGCAGAGGGGACACCAGGACTTTGCCAGAGCTCCAGGGAGCAGCTGGGATGCACAGCCCCAGCTTGGATGCACAGCCCCAGCTTGGATGCACAGCTCCAGCCTGGATGCACAGCTCCAGCCTGGATGCACAGCCCCAGCCTGGGTGCACAGCCCCAGCCTGGGATGCACAACCCCAGCCTGGGATGCACAACCCCAGCCTGGGTGCACAACCCCAGCCTGGATGCACAACCCCAGCCTGGATGCACAGCTCCAGCCTGGATGCACAGCCCCAGCCCAGTGTCAGAGCCTTCCCTCCGTGCAACTTCTATTTTCTTTCTTGCAGAGATTGACCAGGGGAGCTGCGGCGATCCCGGGGTCCCGGCCTACGGCAGGAGAGAAGGATCCACCTTTCGCCACGGGGACAGTTTGAAGTTTGAGTGCCAGCCTGCCTTTGAGTTGAAGGGACAGAAAACAATTACCTGCCAAAAGAGCAGCCAGTGGTCTGCTCAGAAACCAGTTTGTGTTTGTAAGTCAGTGAGGAGATGGCTGTAAAACCTCTTTGTTGTGCGGTGAGGTGGTCACGTCAACAGGGTGTTTGTGCCCTGGGCTTGGTGCTGGGACAGGGCAAGTCCTCATGGTGGCAGAGATGGCACCAACTGCAGCTTCCCTCACCTGAAGCCTTGGGGAGAGTTTGGTTTGGCTCTTCCCTCAGCAGAGAAAGGCTGAGCAGCAGGGAGCAGCATCCACCTGGAGATTTGGGCTTGTGCTGGGCCCGTGTGCTCTCTCTGCTCTGCCCCTCTGCCCTCCTGCCTTTGGTTCCATCCCTTCTGGACAGAAAGGAGGCCCTTGGTGTCCCAGGCAGGAGCCATGGACACATAAAAACTAGTAATTTAAAACTGAAATCTATTTTTGGCCACTTAATTTTCCTTCATTATCTGACAATATTCAGGCTCCCTGCTGCTGGACCTCAATTTTTAATTTGTTGCATGAGTTCTCAGCAGAAGGAGGAGATTATGCTCTCAGGAGTGAGTAAGGATAACATTTTTAGATGTAAATGGGAGTCACATGCACAGACCCCTTTGGGTTTTAATGGCCTCATTGTCCTTTGAAGACATATTGGGTGATCTGCTTTACTGTATTGGCTGAACCTTCAAATACAAGTTACTGTTTCTGACTGAATGTTGCCAAAACTCACAGAAGTATCTATATTTTCCCCAGTTGTTGACAAGCAAACTCTTCTTTTCTCCACTTTCTTGGATATGTTAAAGTCTGTGCCTTTGGACAGATACTTTGGTATAGGGGAGTGAGACTGAACCTCCTGAAAAAATAAGGAGTATTCAGCTGAGCAACAGAGGGCAAAAGTGTGGGGGAAATGGATAGAGAAAAGAGAGAAATGTTGATTTTTAGACATGTGTATTCAGTCTGCAGATAATTAGATACACTGTTAATAGAGACTCCAGTACAAAGTGCTCATTTGCAGCGTGGCAGGACTTGATCCCCACTGAAGAGGTGACACAGCTTGGGGGGAGCAAACCCTGGTCTTGGTTCTTCAGGAGAAGTGGGGGCTTTAGTTGGCGATTGGTGAATGATTGTGGGAAACTGATTTCAAGTAAGTGGTGTCCTTTTCAAACTCTAGTTTAAGCTCGGAGCATTTGAGAGTGTCTGTCTGGGGAAGGGAAACCATTGCTTAGTGAGTCTTGCCTTTTCCAGGTGCCTTGACTCCCTTCCTACTTGGTTTTCTCTGTGAGCAAATCAGCTAAAGATGCTGAGGAGGAAAGTGGAGTTCCCCTGGTTATTTTTGAAGTGGAAGTGTTAGACCAGTTCTTTGCTTAGAATCACAACTTGTGGGGTTGGGGTTTTTTTTCCCATTTCCAGCAGTTCAGATGAATTAGAACAGCTGATGGTTTGCTTGAGGTTCTCCCTGACAGTTTGCAGTGAGACAAAACCCACAGTTAGTTCCCAGTATGAGAGGATTGGATCCTAATAGTATGGATAGGGGACTTGCCAGAGTAAAGTAGGATGATATTTTTGTGGATAGGTACTGAACAGGGGCAGCAAATCAAGTCCCAGTCAGCAGCCTGTGCAAAAGCATAGCACAAACATGAGTATTTTTAGTTAAAATAATTACATTGTGTTCTGTTCTCTGTGGCCCTTCAGCTTTGGATGTTTATGAATCAACGAGGCAACGTGTAGGTAGTGGAAAAAATATTTCACAGCTCTCTCTACACCTTTACTCCCCTGCCTTTATTCTAGACAGCGTCGTATTAATGTGCATGAATCAGAAGAAGTTACACGACAAAATGTGTAACCTGGCATGAAATCTGTAGTGGGATTAGTAACAACTCTCTGTAAATGCTGGGAGACCATTAAATGTGTTGGGCACGAGGTGGGAAAAGAAGGTAACCTGATTTATGTGCTGCTAGTTGGAATATGCAAACAATGCAGTGCTTCTGATTCTGGCCACAAACACATGACAAATGCAGAAGGAGATTAACCAGCCCTCTGTGCTGTATCCTGCCGGCCTGAGCACAGGATTTATGAGCAGACAGAATTTATTGTGGAGAGCTCATTTCCTTGGGGCTTCGATGACAAAGCAACACAAACCATTTAAGTAATGCATCTGCTTATTGTGAGGGGTGACTGTCTGTGCCTCCATGATAACAAAGCTTCCATCTTCATCCTCTTTGTTGTCACCGTGTCCCTCACCCGCCCAGGGCACTGGAGAAACTTTGCAGGACTCCTTAGTACATGACTTCTGCAAACCTGTTACTAAGCAAGGTGTCCCTGGCCTTGCCGGGTGTGTTCAGAGTCTCTGCTGATCTGAGATACCTGGACCAGCTCCACGGGAGCTGGGGAGCCTGTTGGGCTGGAGCTGGGCAGGGGACCACAATCCTCATCTCTGCTCCGAGCTTGGTGTCTGCTTCTGTGCAGCCTGGGTGTCTGGGGGTCAGTGGTGGCTGGAGACTGAAGACCTTTTTCTCTCCCTCTCCTGTGGCACCTCGCAGTGCTCGAATCAGCTTCACAGTCACTGTTGTTTGCTCTGACAGTTGCAGTTCCAGTCACAGAACCGTGATGCCTGTCAGAGGCTGAGGCAGTTCCCATAGCCCGGGGTAAGCTGAGCTGTTCCTTTCATGCAGGGCTGTGCTCACGTTTCTGGAGCTCTTGAAGGACAGCAAAATGGGCTTAGGAGATGTCATCTGGATAAATGTTACCTAAGGAAAACCATTCTGCTGCTTAAATGGAGTTTGTGCTCTGATGGTAGGAACTCAGAAGAGATACAGTATTCAAACTGAAGTCTGGAGTTACCTGTAGCTGAGATTATTAAGCCTATGGATGGGAGACCAGCCCATAATTACAGCTATAATGGGATGCTGGTGAGTTGTTCTGCTACTGCAGTGAGAATGATGATGAAAGTCTGGATAGACCCAGTCAGGGAGCAGGGTGTTTCAGGGGTGCCATTGCTTTCAAACACATGGTTGGATTTACTGTATAAATGTACCCGTGTGTAGGAGAGAAAAACTCATTACCTGAAGTTTATGTGAACTATTGCAGTGGAAGGCCCTTCTACAAAACATTTTCTATGACCAGAATTTGTTTCATGAAGTTAATGTTTTCTTGCTAAGGACAGGAAGAGCAAATGTCCCCTCTGCAGGGGAGCAGTGCTCTCAGAGGGCTCCTGCAGCAGCCAGGCAGCCTGACAAGGTTCTTTGCTGTTCCTCTGGGGCAGCTCTTGTCCTCCTTCCCTGCCCCTCTGAGCCTGTCACCTGCAGCTCCTGAGCGTTCAGCCTTGCAGTTGGGTGGTTGCCATGGGTCAAGCAGTGCCACCGCCCCTCTGAGCCTGTCACCTGCAGCTCCTGAGTGTTCAGCCCTGCACCTGCAGCTGGGTGGTTGCCATGGGTCAAGCAGTGCTACCATTTTAAAGCTTATGGCCTAACCCATCATGGCAATTGTGGCCTTTGTAACCCCCTCACCCAGTGCAGGTGAAGTTTTTGCCTTGTTCTGACTGTCCCTGCCAGCTGCTCTGGGAGAGTCATTTCTGAAAACAGCTTTTTCTGATACAGGTTTAGTTCGTTGATCAGACTTGCAAACATCAAGTTTTCCGGACCTGTCACGTGTTATAGAGGTAACCAGAACCTTGTGAAATAAACCAGTCTGTACATCCTGGCTGTGGGGCACTGGGCAGCCCTGGGTGGAGGTTTCAGCCCTGAACTGGGGTTTTGTTTGGCGTCACTTGGCTACAGCAGGGGATAAATATGTGCAAACACTTGTGTGCTTGTGTGTGTGTGTTTAAATGGAGGAGACATCCCAGTTGTGCTGTCCCAGAGTACTTCTGGCCTCCTCCAGACACTCTACATTTGTTGAGTGACTGCAGAGGCCTTGGTGTTCCTCTGGTCTTGCTTTAGGATCTCCACTGCTTCTCAGTCACTTATTTCTATTGTGTTGTCATAAAGTCTCTCTGTATCATAGACCTGCTTAGAGCAGTACTCATGCATAATATTCCTCTAAACAGAGCAGAAGGCATTTCCCAAAGCATTTCCAATTGATACTGTGTTGTGTGTTTCCTTCCCTGGCTTAGGAGCAGATGTCATGCTTTCTTCCCTTCTCCTTCACTTGGAAGCCTCAACCACAGCCTGTTTCTCAGCAGTTTGCTCAGGGTTTCTATCACATGCAGGAACACGGGGCAGGAGGGACCTGCCCTGTCTTGTTGCAAATGATACATTGACCCTGTCAGACCAAGCTGAGCACCAGCAAAATCCCTTACATGGTTGTTGGCTGTGAGTTGGTTCCAGGAGGAGGTTGGCATGGCCCTGGGTCCCCTGTCCTCCCACCCAGGTGTACAGCTCAACACAGTCATCCTCTTTGGAGGCTTTATGACTTTGTGCATTTTTCCTGTCTTTTGAACATCTGATTTTCCTAAATAGCAGTATAAAATCCCTCATCTCCTTAGTGGTAATTACTCTTTTTATTTTTATTTTTATTTGGTTAATCCTGTTACCCCAGCTGAACACTCCTTGCTCCTCTCTGTAAAGATGGCAAGTGTGAGTTTGAGCTGGGTGGCTCACCTGTTGTGTGCACTGTCTGGTACAAGCATTCAGGATTAGTAGCTGGAAATGCAAAGTGCAGTCCATGTTTTCCTAGCAAAGTACTGAACAGAACCCTGTAATTTCATATCACTCAACAAGGTTTCCATTTAGCTCTAAATTAAATTGTCAATTGGTTGTTATTTTCTTTCTCTTTCTTTTTTCCTTCTCTTTTCTTCTTTTCCTGCCCACTATTCACAGCAAACTATGGAGCCTTTCCTGGGAAGAGTAATTTGGAGAAAAGTGTGCATCAAGTTAGCAGTGATAAATCATAGTTTGCCTTTTTTAAAATAGCAGCTTTTGCACAGAGAGAGTAGTTAACCCTTGGAGAAGTTTCCTGAAGGCAGTGGTGGGTTCTCCGTAGGTGAACCTTGATGAATGGAGACTGGAAACTCCTTTCTGGAGATCATAGGAACCAGGAATTGGTTTATAATCTGCGTTAAGA